GCCCTGGCATTAATTTACCATATGAGCTCATGCTGTGGTGGATAGAATAATTGATATTGAAGCAAGAGACCTAGGTTTGAATCCCCAGCTTTGCTTCTTATGACTTCTTTGTCCTTGGACAAATCATTTCAACTCTCTAGGTTTTTCACCCTCCTCATCTGTAGAATGAGAGTGTTGGATTAAATGATCTCTAAGGTTCTTTGCACCCCTTAAAAAGTCAGAGGATTCTCAATCGCTTAATCTCACTATAATTGCCTGGGGATAATTGTACAAGCCTATAATACAGCTACCCATGAGGCTGAGGAGGCTGGAGGATGCCGTGATCCTAGCAGTTCTAAAGTTCAGCAGATGTTCTGAATAAGTCCATCATCAATATGATGAGCTGTCTCAACTTGGGGGGGGGAGGGGGCGGGAACCAGGTGGCCTAATGAGGAGTGAACCAGCCCAGGTCAGAAACAGAATTGATCAAAACTTCTGCATTAGTTCGTAATTATACTGGGTCTGTGAATAGTCCCCGTACTTCCTGTACTACTACCCCGAGAAAGATAGACCCAATTTTTAAAAAATCTCACTGTGTCTGTTTCATCATCTGTCAAATGGGGATATCATTTGGATGCTTCTGTGAATCAAATGAGAATTATGTCTGTGAAAGTGCTTTTAAAAGCAGGAAACAAAATCCCAAGTATTATTCTAATCTGGAGCTGACTGACAGTTTTTTATTGGCAAATCCTCTAAATAATCTGTAGGCCTGCTTTGGCGTGACAGATGGTGAGGGAAATGAGAATGATGTGACAGTTCTATTCATCAAGAAAGTCATAGGAGACTAAAGGGGGTCGAACCTACTCTCTACCTAATTTTGCAGCACTTAAAGATACGCTCAGACTGAGGCTCTTGCCTCATAGTTGTAGTATGGTGGATCAAGCAGGATATAAATATTCATTTTAAAAAGAAAGATCCCTTTAAGACAGTAAGATTCTTTAAAAGCCAAGAACCCTGAATGTCTGATGCACTTCAGGGAGTCCAAATGACTCGCGTTGAAAGAGGCATTCATTGCCTATATAATGCTACTGTATGCAAAGCTTCCTGCTGTAACTCTCTGATAGAGCAGCCTTCATCAACTTGAGCTTTAGAAGGCAGAGAATTTGGCCACTGAGTTAATTTTCCCATATGCTTATTTAAAGTGACATATTCTTCCCTGGGAGGTAGAATTCAGATACTGCTATTCTACAGAAAAAGTAGCATGATAGGAGCTTCTCACAGGAAAAGAATGGCAAAGGACCCAGTGTGAGCTTTAAATCCATTTTGGTTACTGAATTGCCAATGTCGATTTAATTCAGCATACCTTTATTACACTCCTATTATGTGCAAGATGTGTTATCTCAGGGAACTCGTTTAAACTCTTATCTTCATTATTTGTATGTTACTGTGGGTTTGTCATTGTTTAAATTTTTGGATTTCTGTCTTTGCTTTTTGGGGTCACTTAGTGCATTTATAGAAATAATTGCAAAATGTGCTTTGTCATTGCGGTTTGCTGTTCAGTCATTTCCAATTGTCCATGACCCCATTTTGGAGTTTTCTTGACAAAGATACAGGAGTGGTTTGCCATTTCTTCCTCCAACTCATTATACAGATGAGAAACTGAGGCAAATGGGGTGAAGTGACTTGCCTAGGTTCATACAGCTGCTAAGTGTCTGAGGCCAGATTAGAACTCATGAAGATGAGTCTTTCTGATTCCAAGCCCAGTGCTGTATCCATTGAGCCCCGTGACTGCCCACTAGGTTTACTTTTTGGAAAAGACAAAATGTGATTATGTCTGTCTCTTCTCTCTTTTTTTTTCCCCCCTTTCTCTTCTGTATATGAAACAAATGTATAGAGCAGGAGCAGTGTCACTACTGAGAGATAGTGGAATCCATTACAACCAGAGTCATACTATCCCAGAAGTCATTCAGATTTCTTCCTAGTGTGTCTTCTTGGAATTCTGTATTTTTTTTTTCAGGTTGAGGGTAATGAAAGCATAGTGTCTGGCAGGTGAGTTTCACCTCTAACTAAAACTAATGTTTTAATACTCTCTGTGCATTTCTTGGGAATTGGACTCCCAAATATTTTATATAGTCTCTAGTTATTTTGAGTGGCATTTCTCATTCAATCTCATCCTACTAGGTTTTGTTGGTTATATACAGAAAGGGGTTATGGTTTGTGTGAGTTTGTCTTATATCTTGATACTTTGCTTAAGTAATTGTTTCCTGACATTTTTATTATTACTGTCCATCATATCATGGATTCATAGATTCAGAGCTAGAAGATATCTTATAATCTGTTAAATCCAATTCTCTCATTTTATAGATGAGGAAGCTGAGGCACAGAGTGCCTTCTCTAGGGTCGTATAGGTAGTAAGTGTCTGAGGCAAGATTTGAATTCAGTTCTTCCTGACTCCATGTTCTACCCAGTATTCTACCTAGCTACCTCAGATCTCCTGCAGAAAGATAATTTTATCTATACTTATTCTGCTAATTGCATTTTATTTTCTTATTGCTATACTGAGCATTTCTGCCAATTTATCAAATAATAGAGGAAATAGTGAACATCCTTGCTTTACCACTGAATTTTTTTGAAGAAGCCTCTAGTGTTTTTCAGTTACCCATAATTTTGGGTTTGGGTTTGAATAGTTCCTATTTTCCATTTTAAGGAATGGTACATTTATTCCAATGCTTTTAATTGTTTTATTAACAGAATGAGTGCTTTATTTTGTAAAGCTTGTTTTCTGCTGCTATTGATATTATCACATTTTTTTGGTCTTGTCATAAATATGCTTATAATATTCATAATATTTAATTAACCTTGCGTTCCTGGTATAGATCAGACTGGTCAAAGTATAGCACTGGCTACTATTTATGATTCCTTGAAATATAACATCCAGGATTTTTTTGTTATTGTTTGGTTTTGGGGGGAATCCAGTGATTTTGGGGGGGGGGCAATTGGGGTTAATGACTTGCCCAGGGTCACACAGCTAGTGTCAAATGTTTAGTCTGAGGCTGGATTTGAACTCAGGTCCTCCTGACTTCAGGGCTGGTGCTCTATCCACTGTGCCACCTAGCTGCCTCTCCAGTGATTCTTAAATTATCTATCCTTAAATTATGTATCCTTCACTTGTCTCCCAAGTCAACTATTTGAAAGTAAATACCTTTAATTCCTTTTTTTTTGGCTAATGCAATCATTGCATTTTTCCCCCTCCATTCTAATTTTCAAGGATTCTCTTACTCTCAGATAATGTTTTACACTTTAATTTCAATGATAGTTATTCTTCTTTCCATTCTTTTCTCCAGAGTTCTTATTTCACTTTTTAACTGTTTCTTCCAGGTGATTTTGTAGTCCTTGTAGCCATGACATCTTCTTCTGAGGCTCTGCTTATAGTTGTCATGGAGTTAATTTCTTCTGTTTAGTGCTTGGATAGCTTTTGACCTATCATATTTCTTCAAAGTGTTTATTGCTTTCTTTTGTTTCTTCCTATCCCCAGCCTCAGTTCTTGATTTGGGACTTTGTGTCAGGGCTAGTCACCACACTGTCTGGTACTTGTAGATGATATGATTAGCTCCTATTTGTTTCTAACTTTGATTTCTTGAATTTCTGCTGCTGGCTTCTACCTTTCCGAGTGTGCCTCTACTGAGAGCGGTGATATGTTTCAGACCCCCAAGATTGTCTAGAGTCGGAGTACCATGGTCTTCAGGGCTTCCTGGGAGCATTTCAGATCAGAATTCTGTAGAACACATCCTCTTCTCCCCTGCCCCCACCCAGCTCCAAAGGTATCCTGTTCTGAATCATTTAGCTTCCAGTTTAGCATCCACAGTGAGAGGAAACAAAATCACGTGTTTCTGATACCCTTGGGGCTTCCTCATTTGAACATGGACAGGCTTCTGGATTATTTACCTGTCCATCTGCCTCTCTGACAAGACAACAGTGCCTTTAGGCTTTTGGCTGTCTTTTTGTGTAGTCCTAGTATGGATAAAGAAAGGAATTTACTTTTGTTTCTCTTCAGACTTCTTGATCATTATTCAATCTGATTCTGCTTTTTGGATCTTTGCCAAGGTACATGTTGAAGAGTTGAGACTTTTCTATAACTTACCATACCATCATCCTAACCAGAAGTTTTAGGAAGTGTCTGTTATTATTATCATAATGCCAGTTATGCCCTCTTCTCCAGAGTTACCCTCCCCCACATTCTTTCGTTATGGTTTTCAGGAGGGGGGTGCAAGTGAGATAGAAAATGAGAAAAATTCTAAAAACCTTTCCTTACCTCCTCTTGTTCTAGAAAGTCTGCTCATATTCCATGGCCCTCCCAGTGGGCTAACCCAGAATGTTTAAAGTGTTCTGAGCCTTCTTTGAAAATCATACTTTTAAACGGCCAGGTTATTTCTCTCAGATCTATTGCTTTAGTCTGCACATAATTTATATGTACTGCCAACCTTATCAAAACACACATCTACTGGTTTATTGTATATGTAGACCTTGAATGTGAAGAAAAGACTCGTGTATATCTCATCATGTTCAGATAGATTCTTTTTTCCCTTGACTTTGTTACAAAGTACCTCCCCTTCATAGTCTAATCTGTGTGTCTCTCCTTCCCAATTCTTCAACAGAGAGCAAGCCACCAATCAGTAGCAGAGTATATTGTAAATTTGAGGTTTAGTTTCACATTTTCCCTAGCGTGTACCTGACCAATGAGGCATGCAGTAGTATGTGTTTTTCCTTCCTTATATCCTAAAGTGATCTGCAGCAAATTATACACAAATTTCAAAGAGTTGTCTATTGATTTATTTACTTTTCCTTTTTTTTTTTTAAAGAGTTACTGCAAACATGTTATGGGAGCTAGGTAGGTGGGAAGCACTACTTATCTCTCTCACACTAGTATAAGGAATCAGGTCACTAGATGCTCATTTAATACTACATTAAAAGAGAACAAAATTATTTACCAGTCTGCTTTGGTTTGTGGCTTCTTCTCATAGGCACATCATCTTTGCTCCAAGTAGTCACAACAAATATGCAGGTGAATCATTTCCAGGAATCTATGATGCCATGTTTGATATTGAAAACAAAGCAGATCAACATGAGGCCTGGGAAGAAGTTAAAAAACAGCTCTCCATTGCAGCATTTACAGTTCAAGCAGCAGCAGGGACACTGAAGGAAGTGTTATAAGAAGATGGCAGCAGAAACCTTCTGTCCATGTGACCAGCCACAAGCACCACCAGGGAGGAAACCAGAGAGCAAGATTCACCTCCAGTTTTTCTCTGATAATCCATGAAGCCATAGTTTGAACAAAACCTGTGTAACTGCTATTTTATATGACATTCTTCATCCATTCACTTCAAAGTACTTTATCAATTTAGCTAATGACCTACTTGAAATTACTTAATAATTCCCCCTTTGCCCAGCTGAACCTGAGAAAAGACATTGGAAGCTCCTTACACGTGCTTAGTTCTATTACATTTACATTAGCAGAGACTAAAACAACAGTCTTGAAGCAGTAGGAATCAACTTTGCAAAATGTAGCAAGTTGAAGTAGCAGCTACAATTCCTCCAACTTAGTTCAGGCCAGGAACCTAGCTGAGAAATAGTAATCAGACACTTAAGAGATAATGACCATTAAGTGGTGTTCTAGTCTTCTAAGGACAAATCCATCACACTGACTCATGAAAAATCCTGATTACTTCCCTTGAAAGATGAATCACTTCTAGACATTCCCTGACAATGGTGTTCTACCTTCTGCTTGAAGATCTCCAGTGATGGGAGACTACTACTTCCTGAGGCAGAAGGTCCATTTTCAGATAGAATCAATTATTAGGGATTTTTTTCCTGATATCAAATGTAAATCTGCCTCATTGTAGCTTCACCCCTTATTGTTCAAAGCTCTGCCCTCTGGAATCACACATAGTAAGCCTAATACCTCCTCCACTGATCCATTGTCAAATCCCACCCAGGTCTTCTCTCCCCTAAACCCCACCAAGCTAAAGAGCAACATTTCCTTCAGCCATGGGCTCCAGCCACTTTAGACACTTTCCTATAAACATGCTTGTCAGTGTCTCTTTACGGAAACAATACTTCAAGCGTGGTGTGGCCAACAAAGATCACAGTGGATTATTATTTCTCTTATATTTCTATAAGCTTAGTCTAAGATCACATTAGTGGGTTTTTTTGGGGGGAGTAGTATCTGACTGTGACATATCTGACTCATGTTCAGTTTGCATTCAACTTTAAAAAGGGAACCTTTTCTTGAGTATCTGTTTTCTTTAAAAAACATCAACACATCACCAGTGGGCCAGGTGAATTCAGCAATATCAAAGCTTTGATAATTTAGACATTAAGCATCTACTTCATGGAAGGCATTTTTTTAGACACTAAGAATACAAAGATGAATAAAAGGCAGGCCTCTTCTGGCCTCTAGAAGCTTATGATCTGATAGACAACTATAGAAACAACTAATGCAGATTTGAATATGTTAAGTCCAAAGGAGAGAATAAAGTTGCCCCAGGAGATCTGAAGAAGAACATGTTTTTATCTTGGGATTGGGGAGATAAGGTAAATGAAGTGGCACCTGTACTCACTTGGCATCTTCACTCTCTGTACTCAACTAAGTGATAGTGTCACAAAGTTCATGCCTTTTACTATGTAGAAGAGCTATGGAAGCAACTGTAATCATTTATCTAGAGCTTACTGTGTTAGATTTGGGCATAAAATAACATTAGTGATTTAATAAACTTGGTTATCTGAAATTTTGCCCTTTTATACATTAGGAATAAAAAATTATGAGAAGCTGAATTTCTAAAAGTAGAAATACATTAACAGCAGTTAGCCTGATTTCCCAAGCATGAGATGGAAAAAAAAATTAAATTTAAACATTAAAAATAAATTTAAAAAATAAAAAGCATTAAAAAGTAAAACATACATATGTATGTATATTATGTACATATGCGTACTACACATATCTATACATGTAAGTAATATTTATAATATAGGTAGCATATTAAACATAACAGGTAGCCTGATTTCCCAACCATGAAATGAAAAAGATTAAAACATGTATAAATACATGTATATAATACACATATATGTATAATACAACATGAGGTGTATATTAGTAATAATATAAGTAGTATATTATGGAGGTTTCAAACTGGATGTTCTTTAGACATCTTAAACTCAACATGTACAAAACTGAATTTATTGTCCCCCTACCCCACTCAACATTCCCTTTTTCAAACTTCCCTATGACTGTTGATAGCACCACCATCCTTCAAGTCACCTGGGCTTGCAACTAGGTGTTATTCTTGGTTCTTCATACTCTCACCCCCCCCTAAATCCAAACTCTTGCCAGTTCCTGTCAATTACCTTTGTAACATCTTTCCTGTACATCCCCTGGCCCCTTCCCTAATACTGCCACTAACCCAGAGCAGGCCCTTACCACCTCACATCTGGATTATTGTAATCCCTGCCACAAGCCTCTCCTCACTCTAATCCATCCTCTGCTTAGCTGTTAAACTGATTCTCCCCAAGTGCAGAATTGGCCATGCTACCTGTCTACTCAGTAAGCTCTAGAGGCTCCCTTTCACCATGATCAAATATAAAATCCTCTGACATTTGAAGCCCTTCATGACTTCCATCCTAACCCTCCTCTCCTCCCCCTTCCATTCTTCTTGCACTGTTCCACATATTCTGTGATCTAGTGACAATGGTCTCCCTGTTATCACATGTGTGAATGTTTAACAAAACAAATACTAGGATTTTAAGAGCTAGCTAATGGAAAAGAGATTAGACTTATTTTGCTTAGTTCCCAGGGGTATAACTAGTAGCAATAAATGCAAGTTGTGAGGATAATATTTAACAAGAGTGATCTGAAAGTAAAGTAGTGTGCCTTAAGAGGCAAAAGGTTTTTCTCCTTCTTGGAAGTTTCTAAGAATCTCAAAGGTATCAAGCAAGTTTAAAGGATTTAGTTAAAATATAGTGTTGCCCTTGACTAGTTTATACAAGGATTACACATTTAGGAATGAAAGTAAGAAATGTTGCTTAAGACTTCACCTCTGTGCTCCTTTGAGCAATAGGAATTTAGATGAATGGATAGAATATTGGACTAGAGAGGTCAATGAAGTTCTTGCCTTGGCTTTTCCATTGAGTATGACTTTGATTTACTCATTCACAGTTTTTAGGTTCCAGTCTCTAAATTAATGAAGCAAAAAAGACTTATTTTTAGACTACATAGGAAGCTAGGTGGCACCATGGATAGGGCATGAGGCTTGGAGTCAGGAGAACAGGAGTTTAAATCCCACCTTGGACACTTACTAGCCGTGTGATCCTGGGCAAGTCACTCAACCTCTGTTTGCCTTATATGTAAAATGGGGATAATAATAGCATCTATCTCCTAGGGTTGTTGGGAGGACCAAATGAGATAAAGGTAAACACTTAGCACAGTGCCTGGCACATACTAAGCACCATATAAATGTTCTTGGGTTGTTTCAGTCCTGTCTGACTCTTTGTGACCCCATTTGGGGTTTTCTTGGCAAAGATACTGAAATAGTTTACAATTTCCCCCTCCAGCTCGTTTTACAGATGAGGCAACTAAGAGAAACAGGGTTAAGTGACTGGCCTAGGGTCAAACAGCTAGTAAGTGTCTGAGATGGGATTTGAATTCAGAAAGAGGAGTCCTCCTGATTGCAGGACAGGTGCTGTATCCACTGTGCCACCTAGCTGCCCATAGATATTTTTTAAAATCACTGTTCTGGTGCCTTTATATCTATTTTTAAATTTTCACTTTGATTCTTCTATGGAAGGTTGTTTCTCCCTTCTCAAAAAATGGTCCTGATAGAAAATTATTTGGGAAATTAGAAAAAAAAACTAAGCCTACATTGACCTTTAGAGTTTTTGGCAGAAAGTGTTATCAAGTAATATTGCCAAAGGAATAAGAGCTATAGGAAATGCCAGCACTGTGCAGCTAAACTAGAAGTTTTTCCTGGGAAGAAGTGCTTTACAATTTGACTTGTTATTTTCACACTGATTAGGTTGCTTAACACAAGTTAAGATTTAGCATTTTCTTAACAAAAGTTTTTAATGCCTTTTTTCTTACCACTCTGTGGAACTTCTTGCTTAACTTTTCATTGAATGTGGGTTTTATGCCCTTGAAATGAAAATGAGATTGACTAGGCAAGTGGGGCCAAGGGCGTGAGTTTAGTGCCTTCAGCAGTTGTATTTAAATCTGCTGTCTTATTTCTTTCATTGGCATTATAGAGATTTATGTTCTATGCACCAGAACATGGGCTTCCAATCATCCAGGTTGGTGAAATAATGTAGAGATACAGCAAAATTTTCTAGAACTCTTCCCATTCCTCCTATCAGAGAACAAAACCAGTGAGGCTGGAGCCATTTCATGGAAAGAAATATTTATGAAGCCCAGCTTGCCAATGCAGGCTTGGCCGTGGATCCCAGCCTCTTTATGGGTTGTTACCCTCACGACTTTTCACAGCCATGTCCCAACGTAAGGTCAATTGTTTCTGTATTTGAAGCATTCACTGTAAGGAGGGATGGGCAGAAGTATCAATGGCAAAGGGAAAATCCATCTCCACTACTTACTAGAGAAATTCGAAGCACATTCAAATGTTATTAGTGTCTTACATTTGTATACCTAAGGCAGTACATTGTGTCCAAAAGCTAGCTCCAATGTTAACATTTGTATAATCACTCAGGTGTTTAGAATTCCTCATTATGAATTATTAGAAATAATAATTTTCAGAGTCTTCACCCTACACCTAATTTGTCTAATGCTTTCTCCTCTAACCAAAGGGCTGCTCTGGTTTTTATGAAGAGGCAATCTGGACAGTTTACATTCAAATGCAGGGAACTAGAGGGATGAGACCATATGATATCTTTAGATTCCTTCCTCCTATTAATTCTACACTAGCTGATTTCCTCTCATTCTTCTCTTGATTTTTTTTTAATGCCAGTGAGACTACCACTCACTCTTGGTTGCTTCACACTGTTTTTGGGTAAAATGTCTGTAATCTAGAAGTGGGCTTGTGCATTTTTAAAATGTCATCAGGCCTCCTTTTCCCTCTTGTCAGTTCTCAGTACTCCTCATAAATTTCTAGCCTTCAATGAAAACAACCATAATCTGGATACTAAAGTCCTGCACTAACACCTCATATCATGATATCTTCAAAGGCAAGGCTACACTACAGAGATCAAATTCTGATAGGTTCTACCAAATTGCAAAAGGTTTGAGTACTAGTACAGCGTCAGATTGTGCCTCTCAGATTGTGCCTGTTTTTCAGAGGACCAGCACAATTAGGGACACACAGTTAAGGACTGACAGGTTCATCTACAGAAGGTTGGCTTGGCCCCTTTGTCATACATTTTTTTTTTTACTATAACAACAGATAAAACAACAAAGCCATAGACCGTTCTCTTTGGTTTTTTTCTTTTTCCTCAATGACAGTAATGGGATGAGAGAGACAGAGAGAGAGAGAGAGGTTTTTAAGAATCCCAGAGTTCTTAGTCTAAGGACATTAACCATTTGGTACTCTCAATGTACAGTCTTTATGCAATAATTAATAAGTGTACACTGTGCTGGAGAAACTTAGCCATATTCAGAGGAACATTCTTACCGTAAATGAAACCAGAATATATAAAGAATTGATGGATTGACTCATGCTCTCAGAATAAAGAAGTTGGCAAGTATGGCATTATCATGTAACCAAAGGATAGAAGAAAATTATTTCATGGACTGTTCACTTGCTTGTCTTGTGGCATTCATGGTGAATTATCAACAAATGTAAGAATATTGCAGTTTAAGAAATGAAGCATTAAGTGTAAAGCCAGGAGGAGGGGGAAGAAACTTTTAAGAATAACTAGATTTCGCAAATTAAATTGAGTCACTGGCACAGGAATAAATACCAGAAACAATGACTTTTGTACTTCCTCTAACTTCTCTTTGTAGATCTTTATATAGCAATGTATAATTTGCACAACTCACCTCAGCTGTCCTAGAAAAGCAACAACAGAGAGCAAGAGTCTTATTACCCTTTTCTCCCAAAAGACCCAGTGAAAAATGCCATTTGTAGTGGGATACTCCCCATTCAGTATCTGGCATGAGAGTGAGAGAGAGCCACAGTGAATTGTCCTTAAGTAGAAAACAGCCCCATTCAAGCAGTTAAAAATTTTCCAACAGTCACTTAAAGATTTCCTTAGGTAAAAGTAAAGCTAATTGAATCAAGGTGTAAGACAAAAGGTTTTAAATCACTTAAATCCAATTCATGGGCAAAGTCTGAACATCACCCTCATGATGTCATTGGTCCTCTTTAAGAACAAAGGACCACCACCAATAACAATAACAGAGTAAAAGCCCTCAGAGGTGTATGAAAAAGCAGGACACAAGTGTGGTCAGCTAGAGCTCCAGGGTAATCACTTCATGGGCCAGTTGCTTTAGAGCAGGCCGCTAGCACCATCTTCTGGATAGAGCTAAATAGCAAACAGCAGCAAGTTTGAGACAAACTGAGAAACAGCATCCCCCCAAATACCGTAATACTTGTCTTGAGCAAAGGACTGTGACATCAGTGAGAAGACCCACAATGCTGGCCAGAAGCCTAGGACAGTAGTGGTGGAGCAGTGGCCCATAGAAGAAAAACAAAAACTCCTCATTTCCTCTTGTTGGGCATCACTCAGTGTGGTAGAAGACTAAATTTATAGATCTTTGAGTAGGAGTGGCCCCCTGGAAGGCAACTCATCTCTTGATTCTCTGTGAATTCTTTGGAGTCGTATTTGTGGGGTTCTTATAGTGTAAATAAAAATCCTATTATTTGAAGCCTTGTGATAACCAAGTGCCCATAGAGGAACTGTTTTCCTTTGCTTTGGGGAGTGTCAGATACTAAAGTTTTTGGGATGCATTTAGATGTAGCAGTGAGCCAGAAAAATCAGAAGTCTCCCTAACGTATCAGGCTTTCATGCCAGAATGGAGACTTTGACACAAGTGATATTTAACACAATGACTTCATTAAAAATGTGGGCATGGTTGAAAATGATAAAAACTATAGAATAAGACAGAGGTCAAAAGCTGATTACTCAGAAGGCTTCTATTATGGTGCTTCTATTCTTGACCAAATCCTCACGAATATATTCAAAAATAATAATAGTAAAAACTTTTATATAGTGCTTACTATGTATGCCAGGTACTTAGTATTTATTATCTTATTTGATCCTCACAGCATCTCTGGGAGGTAGGTGCTCTTACTATCCTCATTTTATAGGTGGGGAAACTGGGACAAACAGAGTGACTTGGCCAGGGTCACACAACTAGTAAATGTCTAAGGCTGGATTTGAATTCAGGTCTTCCTGACTCCAGGTCTGGTACTCTATCTACTGTACCATCTAGCTGCCTCCAGAATAGCGGCAAACTTGTGAAGATGGTTTAAGCTGGTTTAACTTCTTTACCACAAAAAGTCTCAAAAAAGTGAAAAATCTAGAATAAAGCTGCATCTACAAAGTAGAAGACACAATGCCTCCACACAAGGTAAAACCCTCTGAAGCAACAGGGGAGAGCTAAACTACCTAAAACCTTCCCTCTGCCTGAGAACTCTCAGTCCTCCCAAGGATAAAGGCCTGCATCAACAACCTGAAAGGCCTGAACTTTAAGCAGTGGGTCTGCTTGTTTCTACCTAGTCTCCTTTGTGACAGTCTGAAATCTTCGCACCTCCACAAGTGAGTAGAAAGCATTGGTCTTGACCAATCCTTCAGTAGAAAAGGACTGTATGTGACTGTGAAGAAGTTGGGGTAAGGTTGGGGGTAGGAAGAGAATAGCATGCAGTTGGCTAGAATGCAAGAGGCTTCTATGCTTTAAGAAAAGAAGCCTAGAAATCTTTCTGAAGTTAGCCTTTTCCTGGAAAGGTTTGCCCAGGGCTGGGCCCCATTGGGTCTTCTAAGTTTGAGGAGACTTAGAAGTGTGCTGGAGCTAGCTAGAACCAGCTCTCAAGATAGCCAGTTGTTAAATTTTCAAGGAAAATGTTGGAGAGAATGTTAACAAAGCAGTTTAAATGTAAAAGTATCTTAGTACATTTTTAATAGATCTGGTTGTTAAACATTTGCCAGCACCCCTTCTTAAGCTATTCTGGCTTGGAGCTCTGTACCCAAACTATATGGATTAGAAGAGATATAGGCCAGTATGGAGGAATGTTCTGCTACAGACTGCTGGAAATAAGAGAAAAAATTAGAAAAAAAAAAAGCAAGAAAGTATGAACATAAGATTAGCTACCAAGCAGATAAAAACCAGTGGTAAAACTCCTAAAGACAAAAGAGAAAACTGAGTAAATAATGTAAAAGACGAAAACACAATGAATGAGTACTATACTTTAAAGCAAAATGGACTAAATGCACCCTGTGAAAAAAAGAGGGGAAAAAAGACATTCTGTGGATTTGCCAAAAATCATAGAACTACAGCAAAAACAGATAAAACAATAAACAACAACAAAAACCCCAGGACGATTCAAAAAATGAAACTTTTAAAAGAAGATATTACAACAGAAATTAGGTCAGAAATGAAGTCTCAGTGAAGAAATAAAGGAGATAACAGAGTAGATAATCTAGAACACATAGCAAAAGCATTATCCACCTCATGAGTTAGTCTATTAGAAACAGGTGTATGTATATGTGCATCTATTTATAGATACACATGTATATACATGCCTATGTATATTCACAGAATGTATATACACAGGCACATATGTGCACAGTGCACATGTATACATTCATGTATATATGCTTATTGCTAAACACACAATCTGATTACGTATGTATATATACTCATATATATAAGGGGTGTGATGTCCGGTGGAGAGGTAGCACGGTTTAGTGCAAAGAATGTTAGACTTGGAGCCAGGGGAAGTAAGTCCAAATGTTGACTCTGACATTTATTATGTGATTATGGATATGCTACTTAACCCAAGTCTCAGTTTCTTGATCAATAAAATTTAGACAACACCTGTGGCATGGAATATACCATTTATGCGGGATTGTTGTGAGGTTCAGATGAGATAATGTACTTTGTAAACCCTAAAGTATTATGTCAATTATTATCATGCTTTTATTACATCATGCTCCCTCCTTACCCCTCCTTTCATTAGAATGTAAGTTCCTTGAAGGCAGGGACTGTCTTGCTTGTCTGTATTTACACCAGTCCTCAGCAGAGTGCCTGGGCACATAGAATCATTTAATCTAAGTATTGTTTCATGTGTTTATAGCAAATGGTGAAATTCTGAAGGCTGTGGATAAGTTCATTTACCTTAGCATTATACTTTCCAGGGACGTACATAGATGATGAGGTTGATGCACACATTGACAGCTAGCTCAGTGTTTGGGAGGCTCAGAAGGAAAAGTGTGGGAGAGAAGAGGTATTAAGCAGCCTACAAACTGAAGAGCTGTTGTGCTGATTATTATTATTGTGTACCTATGAAACCTGGACAAGTCTTCCTGTGCTAGGAAACTGAATTGCTTCCATTTGAATTCTTAGGAGGAGTCTGAAGATCACTTGGCAGGGTACGGTATGGGACAGGTCCTTTCTTGAACTAAACTGCCAAGCATTCAGTGTCTACTGCAGAGAATACAACTTTGATGGGCTGGCTGTGTTGTTAGAATGCTAAATGTATGTTTGCCTAAAACATTATTTCACAGAGAACCCACACAAGGCAAGTGGTCACATAAAGGTCAGAAGAAGCAATAAAAGGACACTCTAAAGGTCTCTCTGAAGAACTTTGGAATTGTGAGACATTGGCGATATTGGTACAGGACTACCTAACATGGTGTGTCCACATCGAAGAAAGCACTGTGCTCTGTGATCAAAGCACAACTGCAGTAGCTCAAAAGAAAGGTGAATTTTGCAAACTTAGACATCTCCATTTCAAATGTTCATATGGACTATTTATGCCTGACTTGTGCCTCTGGAGCTCATATTGGTCTGATCAGCCACAGCTGGACACACGTAACTTGACCCCGAAACAGTGTTGTCATTTTGGTCCTCTGAGAACAAAGGACAACAACCAACCAACCATTTCATGGGAGGGTTTAAGAATGGAGGTGGAGATGGGGAATCATTGTGAATTGAACATTTTTTTAAAAAAGTTAAAAATAAATCAAATTATGGAACACACTCTCCCCTCCCATATGAATTCAGTCACTTATTAAATCACTGAAACTCTTGACTTTAAACATGAAGTAGATGGCCTGCTATTAGAGCATAATCTCTGTGGGGTTCTTTAAATGTAGTAATTTCTAACTTACTGTAAAACCTATGTTTATTTCACTTTAAATGCATCCTCCCTGGGACAGTTAGAAAATTGTCCCTTATGCTGAACCAACATCTGTCTTCCTCTAGCTTCTATTATGTTGCTTGTAGTTCTCCTTTCTGGAACCACCAATAACATTTTTGTTCAATGTAAAAGTCTTTCACATATGTGAAGATAGCTGTCACCTGTCCATTAAGCTCTCCAGGGTAAAATGCTGCAGTTTTCTCACTAAACTAATTGTCTTCTTATATGGTCGTATAATGACCAGTCATTGCGTATTGGTAAGCCAAATTCAAATTTAATTCAATGCAGCATACATTATCATGGTGATGGACAAGATCATTCTATCACATAATGACAGAATCTTAGAGTTGGAAGGGGCCTCAGCAGCTACTGAAAAGGAATAACCACAGCAACCTGGCTCTGCTTGAAGACTTCCACAGGGACTCATTAGTGCTTGGGGCAGCTTATTTCCCTTTTAGTCTATCTGGGCAGCAAACTTTCCTCCACTTGGCTTTTCCTATGTGATTAGGCCAAATTCTTTTGAGTGGTTGTGGACCTCAATAGAATCTATCTTGGCCCAACTTTCATGTATCAGTATTCTACAAGAGTCATAGAAAAGGGAATAAGGGTCAAGCCTATGATTTCTCCCTCCACCCTATACAGGTCTGCACCTTCCACTTTTAGAGCTAACTAGGATACTGAGACATTGTGACTTGCCCAGGGTCACACAGCCAACACATTTCAGAAGTGTGACTTAAACCCAAGTCCTTCCTTAACTCTGAGCCTGAATCTCTACCATGTTATGCTGCCTCTTTGAGGGTCAGTCTACCAGAATAATTCTATTGTAATGACTAAAGAAATACCCTAAATCAGAAGCACAAATTTTTATTACATTGCTTCAACACAGGCAATAAAGGTGGTGGGTGTTTAAAGTGAGAAACTAAAAGTTAACAAGCAAATAACTTATTCTGTAGAAAACATTCTTAAAAATATTTCAAGAACCCCCCCCCCCATGCTAAGAATTAGACATCCATACATTAAAAAAAAAAGATCAGTAACTGAAAAGGCTTTTTTTTTTTTTACAGATGATGGCATATTGGTCAAGTGTTCCAGACACTCACAAATATTAAGTTTAAAAAGCAGAAGCCATTTCACTCAAAATGATCTTTGGGTGGGAGGTAGGGGGAAGAAATTATACTTAACCATTATAGCATTTATTAATCCAGGCCATGGATGTAGGAATTGCAACATTGTGCCAATTGCCTTAAAGTATTTAATAAAACTAAGAAAATGCTGAAATGGTGACTTGGTAATGCAAATGCCCTAAATCCAAAAGTAAAAGTTAAAAGATTTTTAAATAGCCAACTACAGAATATTAGAGTGACTGACTCTTACTACAATAAAAGTTACTTGTCTTCAAACTGGTAAGAGACCACAGAAAACATTTACTTCAGAGGAAAAAAAAATATTGGACCTGAATAGTGAATTTCCCCTCAGGAAATCTTTGAAACCAAATAGGTTTATAGCTAAAAAAGGGAATTAAAATCTCAGACAATATATAAATACTGAAGCAGTATTACAGCTCTACGCTACTATAAAAATATAACAAATATGCACAGGCTAAGTAAACAGGTCTTTCAGCAGTTAACAAGATAGGATTGACAAAATTATATGATTTAATTAATGGCCATTTATAAGAGGTTGATTTTGGTTTACATTTTTTTTTACAAATATTTACAAATTCATTACAGAAAAAGGAACCATCTTGATAAAACTGCCTTTAACTAAACTCTTTACAGGACAACTCTCCATTTGAAAGTTTCATCAAAGATGTGACAAAAGGAAATCAAGTTTCTAAGGAAAGTCATTTCTTCTTAAGATACAAGAAGTGAAGAGCAGAAAGTTAAAAAATATATAAAATAGTGAGTTTGGCTAATGATTCCGGATAAAGCCACAAACCAAGGCTGAAGTTAAATGTATTCTTTGTTCTGTTTGAGACTGTTATTGTGATCAATATAGTATAAAACAGGCTAAATAAAGATGAGGTAAAATAACCTAGTTAATTAGTAAAGTTTTCTTACTATTTCCTTTCGGAATGGGGTGGGTTGCAGGACCAAAGCAGGGATGGAAGACCAAAAAAAAAAAATTAGAATAATGGTTGGGATCAATGAAGGGAAGATTATTTGCTTCCACAACAAATTTGGCTGGTGTAACTTTCTATACTCTATTTTATTACATAAAGAATAGCAACCAATATTTTGATTTTCACATCCAGGATCAAAACAGGAAATGATTTGTAAAATACACAAATGTATAGCTATAATTCAGTAAGACTGATTCCCTTATAACCACCCATGCCCCAGGAATTTCAACTATTGTCCTTAGTGGGGTGTTTTGTGCAAATTTGTGAATTAGTATCCATCAAAATGCAATTTCCAGGGAAAACAGCAGCAGTAAAGCCAGATTTTAATAAAATATTAGCTTGAAAAATTCATTTGCAGTATAATTATATCATACTAATCTCTTGATTACTGATGTTCTTATGACTCTATACCCCAGAGGAGAAAGATTTCAGAATTATAAATTGGCAGAATCCAAACCATAAACTAACATAATGGTAATTGGAAAAAAAAAACTAAAACTAAAACACAACCCAATAAGGCATATGTTTGCTGCTATTACTATCATCTGTGATGATAAAAGTCTAGTAAAAAACATTTGTAGCTTGGCAGATTTCTTAAATCTGTATTTTATCAACCTAAATATACCATCTTGTGAACATCTATGTATATGCACCCATCACTGATGCTACCAAAACCCTATGCATATAATCTTAGCTTTATTACTTAATGAAATATTAGCATTGTTTATGGTAAAGCAAAAAGTACGACATAGGCATATCCTATGTAATATAGTTGATTAGTTCTTTGAAAACATGATGCATAAAAGTGAAATGACTTTACAGGGACCAGTTAGTTCCACAAGAACAAATGTTAGTGTATACAGTGAGTAATGCGGCAGTTAGGGTTCAAGAACTACCTCAAATTGTTGCAAACCATCTAATTTACTTTTCGGACAAGTTACAATGGCTTTGATTGCAAAAATGTCAGTCAAGGCCCTGTTGTTGTGGGATATGCCTGTAAAGATCATTCCCAAACATGTTAAATCCTCATATATTGGCTAAAAAATCTTTTTCCAAATTGTACTGTGATAAAAGATATTAGCAACAAAGAATCTAAAGATTTATGGTAATGACTTAATTTTAGTATTTGTAACTGAAGTATTCAACCCCAAATTTTCAAATCTACCAGAGTGAGCCTTTGTAATAGTCTGTTAAATTTTTTCCCAAACATACTTGCATAACACCATGATGGAAAATGTTATTTAATGGATACCTTAATTAGCATTTAAAATCCCATTAAACAAATAAACATATACAAACTTGCACTGCCTAAGTCTTCATGAAATGTAAGCAAAAAAGATCTTAAAACAAGTAATTTTTATTAAAATAGTAGAAAAAATTTATGAAGGAAATATAAATATCTATATTTGATTAGTTGTCTGCTTAGAGTGTTTTTTACCAGATTAAAAGACTGCCTAAAAGTTTAGATAAGTATTATTAAGGTCAAATCTATTTTTTACTTTGTATTAAACTAATGCCAATATTTTCAGTGTTTTAATTAGTGGATCTACACTTCTAACACAATTTCAGAGATGAAAGGGACCTTATAGAGGTCACATAGTCTAACTCAACCAAATTATATCATATGCAGAAATAAATTCCCTCTAGAACATCTCTGAGAGTCATCTACTATGAACACTTGCAATTATCAGAAAAATTATTACATCTCATGAGGCAGTCCATTTCATTTTTGAATAAACTCCATCAGTAATTTTTAAAAAAATGCTAAGCAGATTTGTCTACTTTGTAACGTATACCTATGGTTCCAAGCTCTTCCCTCTGGAGTGACAGAGAAAAAAAAATAATAAGCTGCTGCCTTCTACACCATTGTCCTTCAACTAAGTGAAGGCAGCTGTTATTTTCCCCTAAGTCCTGTCTTTTCTAGCTAAAAATTCCCAAATCTTTCAAAATAGTTTCCAGGACAATCCACCATTCTAGGTGGTGAACTCATATGGTGTAAATGAGTCAATAACCGTAGGTGTAACACACACGAAAATTAATAGAACCTAGAGATCTTTAAATAATCACACAAGAAAGTCATTTAACATAATTTTTATATAAAATAGTAAATCAGGACCAAATCGATACTTTCCAATTCTATATGTTAACCCTTTCCCCTCCATTCCCAATGAATCTTAGCAGTAACAATCAGACTGCTTGGTAAGAAATAGAATTAGTACAGGGAAGCCAGCTGTGATTTTTTTTTTTGACAAATTAAACAACATGCAAGCTCCTTTTTCATCACTATTCTCATCACCTCTAAGGATATCCTCCTAGGAAAAAATATCCATCCTTTTTTAATGGCCTAATTTACTAATACCATCTGATGTATGACTCAGGTAACTTGAAATGGAAAATATTTTTTTCTGCTGCTTGCAGCCCCTCCCCCCACCTAAAACTATGGAACCCAAACACCTAAAAGAATTGAATAAAACCCTTATATCCCACAGTACTATAGCGACATGAATAAAAAGTGAGGTGTGGAAACACATGAAATGCCCCATACTTGTTTCTCCTATTGACATGACTATGATACTTAGAAGTACTGAATGATATTAAAGGGAGAGATCTTTCTTTTTCTGACTCAGGAATTTAATTCTATTAACTTCAATATTTAGATAGCAAGAATACTGCCATTTTTATAGTCCAAAGGAATCTGAGAAAAGAAGAAAAGATTTTGGTTTCTAGAAATCTATTTTTGACTAGGTCTGGAATGCCCTATTAATAACATGTATGTGCATACATACATCTATGTCTATGATTACAATAGCAAGTCACCACTTTACCACACAGTAGTAGGAACCTCAAAACAGGTAATAGCTAATGTCCCATTCCTCCCCCCAACTCCTCTGCTCTCAATCTGCTATATCTTCTTTTTTTTCATCTTGTATTTTGGGTGAAGGGAGTTCAAGCCTTGCCCACTGCATAGGTTCAGCTTTTCTCATTGTGATCTCAATCTTTGTGGCTGTCATATTTACATAACTCCTCTTCACATCAATTACCTGAAACAAACAAAAAAAGTAAAACAGTAGTTTTTGAGATTCAAAAAAAAATGCAGTCAGGATAAAGATTTTATTTGCAATTTATGTTGACAATCCAAACTTCTTAGGCTACATCATATTCCACCCTGAACTGTACATTCTACCTCTTAACATGTAACAATGGTGTACAGAAGATAAAGCTCTTATTCCTCAAATAAGATGAAGACTATCTCATGCAGAGTTCCTACTTAATTAAGCAAGTCTTTTACTTCAGGATTGTAAATTTTGAATCTGCAAAAAAAGTCTGCAAAATGGATACTTACTCCCCATAATTTGACATTTTGATGAAATTCCTTTTCTCCTTCAAATACAATGTGGATATTTAACTGAAACAAAGTAGGAAAATATCAAACTGAATAATTTCTACTATCAAAGAAAACAGAAAAATTAAACTTGAATAAAATTCTTAGATTCCAATGTAAAACTGAGTCTGCAAAATTTTAAAAATAATTTTTCAAATATATCACATTAAAGACTAAAAAATATACATCACAGTTTACTGATTTTTTTTCTTATATTGTTGGAGACAAAAGTTCAGGTCAATTTTATTCCTCTTATCTTTTTAGATTTAAAATTCACTCTAAAATAAAAATAAATTTATGATAATTTACCAAAATATATTAGCATACTCACCAGCGTACTATTTGCCTTTACATGACTAAGTTCTGGAAGTGAATTTTTAGCATAGACTGAGATGGTAACCTGACCTCCTGTCTGATGCCAGTCATGCCTACATGGAACAACTTTTTTCCCCTGTAGTAAGAGAGACATTTAAAAAAAACTTTAGAAACTCTTAGATTTTCAAACTCCTAGAAGGCAAGGGTCTATCTAGTTTATGTGGTTCTTTTTTTATGGAACACCTTGACACCATACCACACACAACTGCTAATTTAATGCTTTATTTATGATGATGATGGTGGGTGCATATAATCTACAAATGATTGTTTCACAGTATGAAGGGGAAATTAAGAACTTTTTAGATAGTGCAAATAAGAATAATATGATGGGAAGTAAATTTTTGCAATCTAGTAATCAAGAGAAAATGCTACAATATATTTTATTTGATGCAGATTAAATAGTAGTCTAATGGGATATGTTTAAAGTGGTTCCAAAAAGTTAATCAAATTAGAACAATGCTTTTCTAGCCAAACCTATCATTAACCAAAAATTACTTTATAAAATTAAAACATTATTTTGGAATTCTACCTTATGTCTCTTCCCCAAAATTTACATAAATTACAACTTATCAGCCAAGGGAATAGAAATTTTTTGGCGTGAAATTTAAAAGAAAAAAGTCAAGTTACTGTGGAATAAACTTGAAGATATTTTTAGTGCCATGTGTGTTTATGTGAATTACTAAGATTACTTATATATTTTGTAAACAATGAAAGAGAATGTGAGGGAGGGCAAATTCAAAGGGTGATTTTTTAAATATTACATTTTTAATAATTCTCTTATATTACTTTAAGGATCCAAAGTTTCCATTAGTATAAGTAAGTACTCCTCAACCAACAAAAATCCCAACTTCCTATATGTTCTTTAAGAGCTGTTATAGTCCCCAAAATTCAGCACCATGAGTCAATCTGGTGATGGCTCATCCTAACTAGGCTAATCCTAACATGTCAAAGTCTGTCACCATGCCTATACTTAAAATCTTTCCAGTTTAGTATTTGGATTTAGAATGACTCATACATATTCTTTCTGCTGTAACCGTTTTCAAGAACCCAGGGTCATCTTCATATAATAGCTGTTATTTATAATATATTGCTTTAAGTTTTGCAAAGCATTTCATGGAAGTTATCTTATTTGATATCACATTATAATAAGGCATCTGAAAGAATTTTATTAAGGTCTTCCCATGCTATTTCAGAAAATCTAGGAGAAAAGAGAAAGGAAAATGACTTTCTAAAAACAGTTTATGAATACAAGTATGAGAAAAATTATTAAAAGTTTTTAATAAAACCAGAGGCAGCTGGTGACAGTGGACAGAGTGGTAGGCCTAAAGTCAGGAAGACCTGGGTTCAAATCTGGCCTCAGACACTTACTAGTTGTGTGACCCCTGGGCAAGTCACTTAACCTCTGTTTGCCTCAGTTACCTCAATTATAAAGTGAAGATAATAACAGAATCTACCTCTCAAGAGTTATTGTGAAAATAACATGAGATGATAGTTGTAAAAAGAGCTTAGAGTGTCTGGCACATAGTAGGTTCTAGATAAATGTTTATTCCCTCAACGCCTCCCCCTTTTTAGATAAAGTGCATTAAATTAGGCTATGTTTCCAGAAACATTTTAAAGGTGTATTTCAAAGTTTCCTCTAGGAAAATATCTTTATGTATGCTTCCAAATTATTTATGTAGCATTTATCTTAAATTTTGTCCTAATAAAATCGATACATTTAAATCTAAAAATGCCATTTGCCTTGGGAATATAATTGTATATTTTAATAAATAATTAAATACATTAGGTAAAAATGTAACATTACTTGCTTAGTTTTTATTTTAGCCTTTGGAAAATACAGTACTCAGTTTTGCCACAAAGTATTTATTCTTGAAAACCACATCAAATAAAGTATATCGTATTTTTGCACAGGAAAAAAGACATTGTCAGGTACAAAGAGCCAGAGAACTTGTTAAAAGACCTGGATTCCAATGTATTTACTAGCTGTGTGATTATAAACAAGTTACAGTGAGCCTAAATTTCCTAATCTGTAAAACAAGGATAATTATATTGCTTGTATTTCAGAGAATGATTGTGAAGAAAGTACTAAACGAACTATCCTTGAGATGTAGGTAGAAGCTGCATTCCTGACCAAGGCCTCACCACTGAAAACAAAGATATTAAGCAAAGATATACCTACTACAAACTTAAATAATGTATGTATTGTAACTGTTGATTGTACAAAGTGAACTAATGCACTGAAGTACAGATAACACATAAAAAAGACTTTGTTTTATAATTAATGTGACCTAAAATGAATATTCCAAATATAAAAAGAGGAACCACTTAATAACTGAATACTTTCTGAGAATTTAGAAAGATTTGGGAAAACTGGAATGGAGAAAGGATTTGAATGGCCTGATTGTTATTTTCCTCAAGAAATTTCTTTATAGCAAAATGATTTATTCAAAATCATTCCATGATATTGGAGCTGTAATTTTCAAAATTAATTTTCTGGTTTTACTCTTTTTGCTACTACATGGGCTATCAAGTTGGGGGAAAATGCATACCTAAAATAAAAATGACTAAACTATGTCTTTGATCTCATTCCTGTACTAATGTATTACTTTGACCAAGGAGGTCAAAAGCAAAATATATACAATATATAATCCAATATATACAAAGATATTTATAGAAAGACTTTTTTGTAGTAGTTAAGAACTAGAAACAAAGTGGATCCCCATCTCTTGGGCATGGTTAAACCATGGTTCAATTCGAATTTAATGTTTTATTATTTTGAAATAAGAAATGACATGAGAAACAATCAATCAGTGGTAACAGATCAAGATCTCAGTTGAGTGTAACCTCTTACCCATCACTGCCATTATGTGTGAGTCACTTAACTTGTTTGTGTGCCTCAGGACTGTCTAGGTTTAGAAGTTTCATACCAATTATAGATCTGAAGTGCTGGTAGGCCATTCTCTACACCAGTAAAATCATAGGTCCATCCTATTCCAAAAATAATGTCTACAGAATGAATGATCACTTAAAAAAAATACTTCCCTCCTTGGGAAAGAGACAAAGCATAGTAAATACTGCCAGATTTGTTCACTGTCTTGGTTGCTTCTGTTTAACTGTTTCTTTGTTGCAAGGAAGAGCTCAACCTCAGGTTGGCAAGATGGGGAGTGCATAGGGTATTGTATCCAGAAATGACAGTGATGAAAAAAGAAAGGCATCAATAAAATTTATTAAAAAAAAAAGACAAAACAAAATGCAAAGACTGAAAGTGTCCAATAAGCAGATCATGAAGAACTAAAAAATGAAAAACTTTTTAAAACAAGATTAAAAAAAAACACACATCCTACACATTTATACAAGATAAATATATTTTACTTTAGTCAGGAAAACTGTTTACCTAAAACTATAAAGAATAAGCTCAAATTGGTCACAAATCACTGACTGCAATTTCACTTAAACTATTCTGATCTTGAAAGACATGACAGCAATGTCTACTTACAGCATCTTTTTTTGTCCACAAATGCTTTCCTGTTGTACATCCTTCTTGGGCCAAAAATGTATTAAAATCAGAAGTTTTTCTTCTGCAACAGCTCCAATATTTCATGCTTTGAATGATCAAAATTCCACAGATGAATGTTAGACATGCAATATTACAACTAAATATCATTTAGGCTCATCTAATCTATTTCCTCAAAGATCCAATGAGAGTTAACAAGAATTAATAAGGTAGCAGTAATCAATAAATAATTGATAAACCCTGAACATGTTGATGTATCATATTTCCAAATATATTTATCTTAAAAATACACATATCCATCTTGAATCACCATTTAAAAACAATATTTATATTGGGGACGCCTATATATATACGAATTTCATATATACAACAGTCTTTAAACAGTCCAGTCTACATGGAAGTGCTTCATTAAAAAAAATGTTTATTTCCTATACAAAACAACAGGAGGTTTCAGTGTTAAAAATCATTTTCTACAAATGGAACTAGATTCTTTTTTCTGCCCTGCTTACTCTTATTACAACTTTTTGATACTGGCTGGAGGTCCCCCATTAGGATGTTGACTTTAGGATAGAGAACAGGAGATCTTATCGCAAGTAATGAGAAAATTATAGTCTGGCCTCTGCAGATATTTTTTTAGGAGCACAGCACTGATTTCTTTTTAAAATTACTAAGCAGTGGCATTACAATAGCACCTCTTGGGGTTTTTTTTCTCATGCCATATAGACTAAAAGTCTAATACTGACCTAAATAATTAGGACCATTTAAACAATGCCTACTAATACTACAATAGGGGATCATCAAAAATAGCTAAATCTTACATTATTAACTTGAGCAAAGTACCAGCAGCAAGCAGGAAAAGAAGTAAAAGTAGAATGAAAATGACAGAATACTTTTAGAGGTTTTTGAAGAACAATAAAATAACAATAAAAGATAATTTTTGAGGTGGTACTTGATTTGTATGGGAAATACAGTGCTTAAGTTTTATCATGCTTACCCTTCATGGAAAATAGGGACTCCAGAATGAAAAATACAAACTTCTTCTATACTCTGTGGACCCTGGTATGTCTTTGGAGATGGGGAGGAAAAAAGGTTCAAAGTGACAAATGATAGGCAAGTATACAATTTTAAAGCATGGAACAGATAAAAACCTACATTAGGAATACAGAACATTGCAAATACTTGAAATAATTATTAAACATTTATCTTTTAATTCTAAGAAATCTGAATTACAACTTAGTAATAAAAAATTAGAAAATGTTTTAGATGCATTCATAAAATTACTTATATATCCCCAAATAACTCAGAATTCCTAAAATGATTAACCATTTCCAGCACAGGAAACCTCAAAAGTGTCATAGAAATTTAAGGCAATGTTTGCTGGGTTCATTAAAATAATCAGCTTTTGTCTAAGGATCACACGTCTGAAGGAAGTAGCACTGGGTTCAGGTTGCATCTCTGGCCTAAGTGTGAGGGAACTTGGGCAAGGTTATGTGGTGATTTGAGGAGAAAGAGAGAGGGGACAAAATCTGCCAGGGTCCCTGGGGATATTCTTAGAAGCTGAGTAAGGTATATTGATATTGCGCACAAAATGGAACGGATACTTTGAGCATATGTCCAGTATACCCATAATGGTGAGAAAAAAGTTACACCTTTTTGTATTTATAAAACATGCCTAAAACCAATTATTTATTTTCAATTTAAATATAAATTTTCTGTAATCCTACATGTAAGATAAATTTGTAGATGCTGTTTATGTATAGAATACACACACTGACATCAACAGGTTGATAAAATATTTTTTCAAGTTGAATGAAGGTGTTGACTGTGTCACATCTGTGTCTTATTTACTAGACTGACATACAGACAAGTCTATTTTTAAGTTTCAAGGCTGGTCCTGTAATACCATGGCTCCTTAAATCTGGATCTGGCCAATAATCTATCCTCCCCAGCTCTCAGAATCTAGAACAAATCCCTTTGCAAACTTCCTGAATAAGTGAGAAAAAGGACTGATGAAGAGTAATGCATTAACTTTGGAAACTACAATGAACAACAACAAAACGAGCTACTATTGGATGAATATTTTGTTCATCTCCACAAATGTGTAATTTTACAGCATCATGTGACTTCCATTATATGTTTTACAAAAAAGCAATTTACCTTTACACAGCCACCATTTTTACATGAAGTACCAATCTTAATTTCATCACTGTCCTCATCTGAAATATGAAAAGGTCTTTATAAGTATTCTAAAGAAAAAGCATTTTAATTCACTAACACTTTTACCTTTCGGCCTCATTTTAGAAAATGTCTATCTTCATCAAGATACAATCATATTAGATTTTTTCCCCTAAAATCTACGTACCTTACTTAGTATTAAATTTCTAGTTACTAAGTGGCCAAAACTTAACTTAAGATTGGACTGTTTTAAGTAAAAAGTTTTACCAACAAATTTTTTAAAAGTACATTTGCTACTCTAGAATATACAATATTACACTCAATTCTAGCCTAAAAGGGAAATCAAAGAGAGAAAATAGATTTAGTACATTACAAAGAAGGATGAAAGAATAATACATAATCCATTTTAAAGAGGATTTTACAACTATATTAGCTGTTAATGACTCATAAGAAAAAGAAAATGTAACGAATACATTTTTCAATAATGGTTCTAGAATTTCTATCATACCCTTTACACAATTCTTGTTACTAACAGACTGTACTTTTTGATTAAATTTTTAACTGTTTGAATGAATTGCCTCATTCTAGTGTCTTTCATAGTTTACATGCAGCAAACTTTTACTAGCTCCCTTCTCTTCTAGAACCCCCTTAAGTTACAAAGCAAGATGATAAAATTCTTACCCTTTTTATCTACTTCATTCTCAGATGACAGTTTAAGTTTATCCAGTGCTTGTTTTAGTGAAGCAGCTATTTTCAACTCCAAGTTTGTCATTGGTTCATCTGGGCTAGAGAATTTTTGAACACTATTGTTATCAAATTTTAAAATATATTTATATGTAGCCCAAATGAATATACTTAAATCCAAGAGCCATGTGGATAATTCAACAAAGGCATGTATCCATGCAAAAAACTGTCACAACCTATTAAAAATTTAGAGAAAACTTCTTGTGTCTATAAACATCTATTTTCAAATACCATTACACAATAATGTAAGGAAATGAAATGAAATACTGGGAATGTTATTGTTTAAGCATGTCAGACATACACAACTGTTTACAAAGTATACCTTGGCCTTTTTATTGCTTCTACTGGTTTAGGGGCTTGGATAATGTGTTCTTGAAATTTAGGTTTCAATTCAGACAATTCCTTCTTCTCAGAGGTAGTCTTGACTTCGGGTTTGACAGGCTCAGGGGGTTTCTCATCATTGTGCTTACCCTTTGTACAACCCTATTAATAAAAATGCTTACTTTAGTATTATATTGCCATATTTAATCAAAATCTATTACATATACCCCCGAAGTTCCAGTTTTATGAATTCTTAAATTCTTTGGTCGTATCCTTTACTTTGTAAGAAAGACTGACTTTGAATTTAATTTGCATATATATACTTCACTCACTGATAGTAAGAGCTATACTACTGATTTGGGGAGAGACAAAGGGTAATCAATTCATAGTGGTAGGAGCAAATAGGGATTTTTAAAATTTTATGTTTATGTTTTTCTCTAAAGCTTTTACCCTTTTCAGTTTTTTCCCCCAATTATAATGGGGAACAAGTCCAAATTAATAGCTAATGTATTTTTAGTAACTTGTAGCTTCCAACTGGCCCTACAAAAGGAAGAGAAGGCCAAGGTCCCTTTTCACAAGCTCACAGTGGTTGCTAAATTAGCCATTACAATTTTGGTATCAAAAAGAAAGAGTTGGAGATGGAACTGTCAGTGTTCAAACTTAAATCCTCCAATATAGAGGTTTTCCTATACCACGACAAGCTTTGTTAAATCATATTACAGCAACAGAGAGTATAATTAGGGTCCATTATCAATTTATATGAAATAAGCATTACAATAAACATGAATTACTTACTACAATGCTTAAGAAATCTGAAAAATCTGTTGTTCTTCTCTTACAGCAAGACCAACCCTGTGAAATTTAGAGGAAAAAAAACTGAATGGAAATTTTTATGAGAACCACAACCTAAATGCTACCCAGTAAAAAAGGTAATTTTTATTGGAATATTTATTTCTATCTTTGAAGTTATGTGTACTTATGTGATGCTTAGATAAATGCACCAGAAACTTAAATTGTGTACCAAATACCTTGCATATTCAGTTAATCCTAGTTGTATTTATTATGAAGTCAATCCTTAAAATACCACTGTTAAGTGAAAAGGTTTTTAGACTATTTATTTTAAATATATCAAACATCTAGTTTGTGTGATATTTCAAAAAATATGACCTAGAAATAGCACAAAGTGGCATCTTAATGAAATTTCAAGAGTAATTAATAGGAAAAAAAAAGTTCAACACTGATTTACTGTTTCATCTCCATGAGACTTAGTATGTCATAAATAATCAATAACTAGTTTACAATTAATTAATAATTAATTTCCTTCTTAAAATTATTTCTAATATCTAAAATTATAAATTTAAGGGAATGGTACTGCAAAGTCAAATATCAACTTGGGACAAAAGAACCCTAATCTAAATACCTACTGAAAAAAAACTTAAAATCACTAAAATTTATTAATGATTTATTATCACTAAAATTATCCTGAATATGTTTGAAATTTTTACTTCAGATATCTACATGCTATCACCCTAAAATGCTTTGTAAGTTTTAAAATGGAACTGATGTAGAGTGAAGCAAGAACCAGAACTATAGAATGACTACAACATTTTAACAAAAACAATTGTGAAAAACTTAAGAACTATGATCAATGTGACTGATGAATATTCACAATTCCTAGAATACTAATGATAGCAGAGAACTGATGGGCTAGAGTACATGAGACATATATTTCAGAAATGGTCAAATGTATGGATTTGTTTTACTTGACTATACTTGTTACAAGGGAGAGCTTTTTGGGGAGAGGGGGCAAGGAGAAAAGAGGTGACAGTAATATCCCTCTAACAGTGTCAAATTAATTATTTTTAAAATGCACAGAAGAGAATTGAAGCTCAGAAGAGACAAGCAATGTACTGTTGGAATTAACATGTTAAATTTGAAATAAACTTTTAAAAAACTTGTAGTGAACAGTCATGGTTTCTTACATATGAAGTCCTTTTTCTTTGCTTTCTATGTAGTAATACTCATGTCTGTGAGGTTCATAATAAAAAATTTAAATAAAATTTAAAATGTTTGAAATGATTATTTTATGTTATGTTATGGTATGCATGTGCATGTGTGTGTGCGTGTGTGTGTGTAAGTAATTATTATACAACAGGAACCCAGACAGTGATGTATTAAAATTACCACAAATTCAGTATTACTCATACCAATTGTGAGATAGCACTGTCTTGTTAGACAATTTATCCAACATTTAAATAGATGACAAATTTAGAGTAAGAAGAGAATGCTCACTATGACTCTGTATGTCATCAAAGTCAAGAAAGACAATGTAGGCTACATTAAAAGAGGCACAGCGTCTGGTAATAAGAAGGTGACAGTCTTCCTTCCCTTTGCCCTGGCAGGACATTGTTAAGCTGAGGAACAACCATGAAGATAAACAGAATGGTGAAGACTCTCCAGATCATGCCATGTGAGAATGAGTTGAGGGAACCAGGAATTGAAGAGGAGACTTAGGAGGCACACTCTCTGCCAGTACTTGAGTATCTGTCCAATGGAAGATAAATCAGACCTAATCTGCTTAGCCCTGATAAAACTAATAGCAATGAGGTGGCTGTTGCAAAAAAGCATATTAGATCTGATGTAAGGAAAAATGTCCCAACCATTAGAGCTTTTCGAAGACTATAACAGGCTACCTTTTGGAGGCAGTAAGAATGAGAAAACCTCTCAGAGGTTTTCAAGCTAAGTCTACAAGACAACTTGATCAGGTATCTTGGACAGTGAATTCTTTTTCAGGTACAGGCTGCACTAAATGGCTGAAGATACCTTCTAGCTTTGAAACTGTGACCTAGTCTAACCCTTTCTTTTTACCGATATGGAAACGAAGGGCGAGAAAGGGGAAGCCATTTGCCCAAGGTCACATAAAATAGTATGTTGTTAAGACGGAATTTAAATTCAGTCCTTTTTCTACTACGATATCCACTCTTTTGTTGTTTTGCATCTAGTCCAGCATATACCTAAAAACAGGACTTCTCTGAAAAGAAAAAAATCCAGTCTGTGCTTAAAGACCCCTCCCAATAAAAGGAAACTCATGATCATCCAAAGAAGTGTATTTTTCTTTTAGAGAGCACTAATTGTTAAAAAAAAATTCTCTTTACATCAAGCTAAATGTCCCTTGAGAACTTCCACTCATTGCTCCCAGCTGTACCCTGTGGGGTCAAGCCAAAAACAGGATCATATATTTAGAGATGGAAAGGTTTCTATTCCAACCTCCTCATTTTATAGCTGAGAAGACCTGCCTGTGGGTCAGTTAGCATCTGATTGGGCTAGTTTATATCTACCAATAGCTACAATGTATGTATGCATATACATGCACAGATATACACATATACACATAATTGTATTCACATATATAATATGCATTCTTGTTACTCGATCTCATCAGTTCCCAGGGATTCAATTATCACCTTTATGCTAATGATTCTCAAAATCTATTTACTCAGCCCTAGATTTTTTGCATTATTTGAACCTAGCCCTGAATGGCTGGGAAGCTGGATCACCATTTCCTGTTGCTTACAGATCCTTAACTAAGTAAGGACCTAGGTTATGCTGACTAGAAATCCAGTCAGATGACGCAAGGAGTTTTCTCACAATTATATAGCTCAAGCAACCCATATGTCTTATCTGAAAACTAGCCCTTTACTGGTCAATCAGTTATTGTTTCCATGTGCCATTAACAGACACATGGGGGGAATGGGACACCTGTTCCTGATTTCATGAAAATGTAGCTGTTTGTTCTTCCCTACCTACTAAATTGGAAAGTCCCAATTAGAAATCAGATTGCTCAATTCTGTATCCCAGTTGTTTTCTTTTAATTACTAGGTCTTATTTGTTTTTACTGCATAAAAATCTATTTTCCCCTGTATCTGGGATCCAATGCTAAAGGGTGAACGGGCCTGATTCCAGTTTGTTGAGCAACCAGCACACATGTTAAATTAATCAATACACTCAGAAGCTCAAACCTTTGTTTCCTCAGTCATTTCCTCTTCTACCTGCCACACTATTGGACAAAAACTATATGTTGTTAATGAAAAGAAATGCAGGGGAAGGTGGCCTAGTCATTCCAGATCTTAAACTGTATTATAAAGCAGCAATCATCAAAACTACTGGCTAATAAGAAATATGAGTAGTGGATCAGTGGAATAGGTTAGGTATGCAAGACACAGTGGTCAATGACTATAGTAATCTACTATTTGATAAACCCAAAGACCTCATCTTCTGGGATAAGAACTCACTCTTTGACAAAAACTGCTGGGAAAACTGGAAAAGAGTATGGCAGAAACTAGGCACAGACCAAAACCTCACACCATATACCAAAGTAAAGTCAAAATGGGTTCATGATTTAAATATAAAGGCTGATACTATAAGCAAACTCTGAGAGCAAGGAACAGTTTACCTATCAGATTTATGGAGAAGAATTCACAACCAAACAGGAGATAAGAGAACATTACGAAATGCAAAATGGAAAATTTTAATTACATTAAATTGAAAAGTTTTTGCACAAAGTCAATAACCAAGATTAGGAGGGAAGCAAAAAACTGGGAAAGAATTTTTATAACCAGTGTCTCTAATAAGGGCTTCATTTCTAAATTACATAGAGAACTAAGTCAAATTTATAAGAATACAAGTCATTCCCCAACTGATAAATAGTCAAAGAATATGAACAGGCAGTTCTCAGATGAAGAAATTAAAGCCATCTACAGTCATATAAAAAAATGCTATGAATCACTGTTGATTAGAGAAATGCACAACTCTGAGGTACCACATCACACCTATCAGATTGGCCAACATGCTAAAACAGGAAAATGACAAATGCTGGGGAAGATGTGGGAAAATTGGAACACTAATGCGTGGCTGGTGGAATTGTGAAATGATAAAACCATTTTGGAGAGCATTTTGGAACCATGCCCAAAGGGCTATAAAAATGTACATACCTTTTGACCCAGCAATTGCACTTCTAGGGCTGTATCCCCAAGCGATTATATAAAAGGGAAAAGGACCCATATTTATAGCAGCTCTTTTTGTGGTGGCCAAGAATTGGAAATTGAGAGGATGCCCATCAACTGGGGAATGGCTGAACAAGTTGTGCTATATGAATATAATGAATACTATTGTGCTATAAGAAATGATGAGCAAGCAGACTTCAGAAAAACCTGGAAAGACCCGTACGTACTGATGCTGAGTGAAGTGAGCAGAATCAAGAGAATGTTGTACACAATAACAGCAATGTTGTGTGATGACTAACCTTCCTAGACTTAGCCCTTCTCAGCAATGCAAGGATCAAAGACATCTCTAAAAGCCTCAAGAGGAAAAATGCTATCCACATCCCAAGCAAGAACTATGGAATTTGAATGCAGATTAAAGCATACTATTTGCTATTTTTTTCTTCTGTTTTCTTTTGTTTCCTCTTTCTTGTGGTTCCTTCTATTGGTTTTAATTCTTCCTTACAACATGACTGATGTGAAAATATTTTTAATAGCAATGTATATGTATAGCCTGTATCGGATTGTGCACTGTCTTGGGGAGGGAGGTGAAGAAGGACAGAGAGAAAAATTTAAAACTCAAAAGCTTATGGAAGTGATTGCTGATAACTCAAAATAAATTAATAAAATAAACCCTAGATATTCTACAAACACCTTAAATTCAACACGTCCAAAACTGAACTCATAATCCTTTCCCTCACTAAACCCCTCCCTTCTTAACTTTCCTATTACTGCTGAGGTTACCAAGATCTTCCTAGTCACCCTGACTCACAACTTAGGTTTTGTCCTTGATTCTTCTCACTCTCTCATTGCCCAGACCACACCCCCCCCCAAACTCATTGCCAAGGCCTTTTAATTTTTATCTTTTTTAACACTTCTTACATATGCTCTCCTCTCTCCTCTGACACAGCTACTATCTTGATGTTGGCCCTCGTCATCTCATGCTTGAACTTTTGCAAGAGACAGCTGTGGGTCTGCCTGTCTCAAGTCTCTCCATGTTTCAATCCATCCTTCACTCAGCTATCGAACTGATTTTTGCAGGTCTGACCATGTCACCTCCCTATATATAAAAAAACAAAACAAAACAAAACACCCTCTACAGTTCAAAGCCCTTCATAATTCTCATCCTTCATTCAACCTTTTCAATCTTCTTACATCTTATACCCCCCATATACTCTGGGATCCAGTGATACTGGCCTCTTTGCTATTCCTCAAACAAAATATACCATATCCCAACTTCAGGCATTTTCAGTGGCTATTTCCCATTCCTAGAACATTCTCCCTCCATATCTCTGGCTCCTGGTTTTCTTCAAATCCCAGCCAAAATCTCATCTTCTACAGAAAATCTTTCCCAATCTCCCTTAATGCTAGTGCCCTCCCTCTGCTGATTATTTCCAATTTATCCTGTATGTAGCACGTTTGTACAAAGTTGTTTGCATACTGTCTCCCACATTAGAACATGAGAGCCTCTTGAGATCAGGTACTATCTTTTGCATTTCTTTATATCAGCAAAGATATGACAAACACTTAATGAGTACTTACTATGTGCCAGGCACTATGCCAAGCATTGGGGATACCAAAAAAAAAAAAAAAAAGGAAAAGATGGTTCCTACCCTCTTAGAGCTTACAATATACTAAAGGAAGACAATATAAAAAAGTAGGAGGGTACTGTTAAGGGCTTGCACTGATGGGTTTGAGGATATAGGTCATGTCGGGATGTTCCTGTTCCTGTCCATTATCTAAGAGCTGTCTAGGTCAGACCGCAGGCTCTCCAACCTCTTCCTGGCGCTGTCTGTCCCTTGAGAAGATGAAGGATTTTTCAATAAACCTTGAAAGATAATCGGGAAGTGAGGAGACAACTCTGGGGGGAAACTCCCCCCACAGTTACTGTTACCATAAGAAAAATTAATTGTTGAAACTTGGTTTTTTCCACTCTGGATTCTGTTCCCACGAAGAGGGTATAATAACCCTAACCCTCAGATCAATAAATGGAGTTTGTTCATAACTAGCTACCCCCAGTCCGCATTATTTTTTCTCTCTCTCTTTTTTTTTTCACTCTTTTCAGCCTCACCAGAGATTAAACTTCGTAGTGGATGCAGGAGTCTGCTACAGGGCACTCCCAGAGGGTACACAGTGCAAGAGCATGATAGTGAGGCTGGAGTCGAACCCAAGAGCAACTGGTGGCAAATGAAGAGATGACTGGGATTTTGAGTGCTTTATAAAGGGACTTCATGGAAGGAGTTTTTTACTCTGCCCTCCAACCAGAGCAACAAAAAAAAAAAACAACTGAGGGTACTGACGAGGTCTGAGTTCCAAAGCTGAAGCAATCTCCATGATGATGAATTTCCTGGTGATGAGCTTATTCTGGGAGGGTGGAAGACTGGGGGCATCATGATGATGATCTTCTAAGTTGAAACCAAGCAAAACACAATGCTTAGCACAGTGCTTGGCATATAATAGGCACTTAATAAATGTTTACTGATGTTCAAAAAAACCCCTAATTTTTTAAAAAAGAAAGTATGAAGTTTCAGAGATTTAGAATATCTGCTACAATATTAAGAGGCTGCTTTTGTATGGATACAATAAAGGCTGGGGGGAGAGCGTTTCAACTTACATGAAGAATTTTTAAAACACTTTTTTCTTGCTCAAATCGAGGGAAGGTATAAAGAGGAAGAAAGGTTAGAAAAGATTATATGAAGTTTAAAAAATATCGCAAATTACAACACATTCACTATTTTGTGTTTTGTGAGGACAGGTATTCAACAAGGGATCTAGTGTTGGAGTAAAATAGAATCATAGGTATAGGCAGGACATTAAGAGGACTTTTTAAAAAAAAACTTTTCTACCTTCTTATCTTCAGTCATGGCATTTTAAAAACTAATCTAAATTAACTGTATTAAGGAAGCTGAAAAGGTAAGTCATCAACTATTTGCTAAGAAAGGAAACGGGGCAGCTACGTGGCACAATGGATACAGCACTGGCCCTGGAGTCAGGAGGACCTGAGTTCAAATCTGGTCTCAGACACTTGATACTTACTAGCTGTGTGACCCTGGGCAAGTCATTTAACCCCAATTGCCTCATCAGAAAAAAAACAGAGTAAGAAAATACATACAAGATAAATTATTTTGTACTAGTAAATTAACTACATCCACATATCTATATTCTACTATGCCTACCTTTAAAGCATCATGAAAGACTGGAACTCCTGGGTGATACGTGCAAGAATCTGGCAAAAACAAAAAGACAACTGTTAAAAAACACCACTCCCACTAACCTCTATCACCCTTTCCAGATGCAATCGATTTCTTTAAAAATCAAGGTAACTTTAAAAAAAATTTTAAAATATGAACCTAAACATTAGGAAATGTTTCCATATTCCAAAAGGACTGAATATGAAATTGTGAAAATATGATATAATATATATTAAACCTAATATGACAGTACCATTTCCCTGCTTGTCTGTGTCTTCTTCTGAACATCCTTCTGTTGTCTTTTTTGATGTGTCCTTGATATTTTTCATCACTATTCACCTTTCTCACTCATCTCAAAACCCTTCCACCCCCAAATAAAAGCTATCTTTTGTCAGTGTGTCATTAAGCATTTATTAAGCACTTGTTGTGTGCCAAGCACCGTGTGCACAGTGGTGAACACACTGTTTTGCAATAAATACACTCAAGCAAAACAGATCCATCCACTGGCCATGTCTAATAAAGCACGTTTCATTCTGTACTTATAATTCATTACCTCTCTGCCAAGAGGTGGAATGCCTGCTTCATCATCAGTTTTATGAAGTCCTGATTAACCACTGTACTGATGGGAGTTCTTTTGTCTTTTAAAGTTGACTTCCTTTATATTAATGTAGTCATTTTATAAATTATTCTTCATTCTGTATCAGTTAATACAAGTCTTCCTAGGTTTCTATGGATTCTTCCCTTTTGTTATTTCTTATGGCACAAGAGTATTTTATTATTTTCAGATTTTGTTTGGCACTCCCCAACTGTTGTATACTCACTTTTTTCCTAGTTCTTTAGTACAACACAAAATGCAGCTGTGAACATTTTTTATACACATGGATCCTTTTCCCATATGATTTCTTTGGAGTATATGCCTAGTTTATTACTAGGTCAAAGGGTATGCAATTTAGTGATTATTTTTTGCATCCAACCCATTCTCTCTCCTCAGGCTACTTTGGTTCAGTTCTTCCATTCCTTGCCTAAATTACTGCAACATTTTCCTAATTTATTTTCCTTCCTAAAAAGTCTTTCACTCCTCTAGTCCATCCTACACACTTCTACTAAAGTTATTTTACTTAAGTACAAATCTGACCCTCTGACTCCTCTACTCAATCAATTCCAGAGGCTTCCTATTGCCTAACATATTCATAACTACTTGCTATTCATAGCCTGACCCAAACCTATTTGTCCAGTCTCACTGGAGAGTTCCCCCATATTTTGCTATCCAACCAAATTGGTCTTTTTTCTATTTCCCACATAAGACATTCCATGTCCATTCTCCATGCCCCTTACGATGTTCCTGGAATACAATCATTTCTTACCTATACCTTGCAGAATTTCTAATATAAAATTCAAACACCAACTTCTCCATGAAGCCTTTTTAAATCCCTAGAACTGGAGTACCCTTCTTCTGAAACTTTATTATACTTATTTTGTACATATTTATTTCATATTTATAATGCATATATTTCAAATATTTAGTTATGCATTAGCTATCTTCCCAATTAGAATGCAAGCTCCTCATAAGAACTGTTTTGTTCTTTGTACTTGTATTCCCAAACACATACTACTGACCTGGCACATAAAGCTTAATAAATGCTTGTTGACTGTGATCCTTTCAAACTGCTTTTCAGAATTACTCCAACAATTCACAGTTCCACCCATAGTACAATATTAGTGTCAGTTCCTTTTGCTGTTCCAATAATTGTCATTTTTCTTTTTGGGTCACTTTGGTTTCTTTGCCAATCTAATAGATGCAAGGTACAACATCAGTCATTTTAATTTGCATATGTCTTCCTATTAGTCATTTGAAGTATTTTTGCAAAAAGTTCTTGGATTCATCTAATCTTCACATGTAAGATCTTAAGGCCTTTCATTTTTTTTTCCTTTAGATGTTTGCTAGCTTAGCAATGCCATTCCAAAAATGTAGTACCTAAAACTGAACACTAAATTCCAGTCTGATCAGGACAAAATACATTGGGACTATCATCTCCCTTGTTCCAGACTATGTCTCTTTTTATGCAGTTTAAGATTATATTAGGGTTTTTTTTTGTTGTTGTTCTCGTCATCACTGACCCATGTTTAGTTTGTAGTCCACTAAAACTCTAGTAACTTTTACAGATGAAGTGATAACTAGCCATCTCTCCCCCATCTCATGCCAAAGTCTAAGACCTTAACAGTTAAGCCTATTAATTTCCATCCTATTAGATTTAGCCCAACTAAGCCAATCTATTCTATGGAGATCTTTTTAGATCCTATGATCCAACCGGTTAACTATCCCTAATGGTTTTTCATGATTTCTAAATTTGTTAAAAATAATATTATTTGGTTAGGTGAGTCACTGATAGAGTTATAACATTCCAGGGCCAAAACAAATTCTTGAGGCACTAACTATAGACCTTCTTCCACGTCAACACTTGATTATTAATGACTATTCTTTGGATCATATAATTCAACCTAGTGACAATAGAAATAAAATTAGAACTGAATTTTCTCTTTTCTGTTATCTGTTTACATCCACCCAAAGTAGCAGTCGTTATGCCTTCTTGGGTCTTCCTCTTGCTCCAACAAAGCTTTAAAAATAATTTTTTGATGTTATTAGCATTAGCTAGAGTCTCTGTTCGTCCTGAGCTTGAGCAGCCATTCCTCCTGAGCTTCAGCACGCCTAATGTTTTTCTTACTGAACAATGTCATGTTTTGCTATTCATCTTATCTGCCCCACTTCCATGTGTCTTTTGGAAATTATAAGCCTAACGACACTATCCATTTAGCCCACATCCTTCCAACTTTTCCACAAGAACAACATGAATGGCTTTATCAAATTCCTTGCTAGTCAATGATTGGGAACCTGCTGCCTCAAGGCCACATGTGGCCCTCTAGGTCCACGTGCGGCCTTTTGACTGAATCTAACCTTCACAGAACAAGTCTGGATTTAGTCAAACGGCCACACTTGAGGACCTAGAGGGCCATATGTGGCCTCAAGGCTACAGGGTCCCCACACCTGATAAATAAATAAGCTGCATCAACAGCACTGTCCTGATTTTTGGTCTAGTAACTGTCAAAATGTGAAATGAGGCTAATTTGACATGATTTATGCCAGCTGATATTCCATATTTCTTACCCACTCAAGCTCTAACCAGTCTACCACTCAGCAGATGACCCTGACTTTACTTTATACTAAGTTCAAGAACATGACATGAACTCTCTTAGCTTCTTTAAATGTCACCCATGGAAGCCTGTGTGTCCTCATTGGAAAAGAGAAGATAATATCTGCCATAATTCACAGAATTGTGGGAAACAAGGAACTTTACAAATTTTAAAGTATTATGTAACGTGCATTATTATAGATAATACATCCCCCTCAATGTAAAAATATGTTCGAGTATCCATTATCCTAAAAACTAAAAACAAACCTTTCAAACCTTGCTTGCTTTCAAGCTACCAAAGAATAAGCTATACTCACTTTCTCTAAACACTCAAAAGTTCTTACAATTTGCAGTACTTACCACATATATTGATCAACTCTTCCTTTAAAGTTTTACCTGTTTCAGCTTTAGAGTCACTGTATTGATGCTGGTTTTACTCCTCTGGGTTCCCCTTCTACTATACCAAACACAGAGTCTCCAGCGCTTAGTTCTTTACTCTTGTTCTCTGCATTTTACAGATTATCTCAACAATTCCAAAGGTATGAAATGATACCTAGAGTTGTTTTAATTTACATTTCTCTAATCAAGTTATTTAGAGCATGTTTTCATAAGACTACAGATAGCTTTGATTTCTTCTTCTGAAAACTGCCTGTTCATAACTTTTGACCTTTTATCAACTGGGGACTAGGGAAGAATTCTTAACTAACCAAGGGATAAAGGCAAACACAAAAGATAAAGTGGACAATTCTGACTACATAAAACTTAAAAGTTTTTTGGAAAAATACTAATACCTCTAGAGTAAGGAAGCAACTAACTGTGAAAGTCTTTGTAGCAAAATGTTCAATAGTGGTCTGATATCCAAGATACATGGAAAAAAAAGAGAAATATGTAAGAACAAGCCAACAGTTAAATGAACAGAGGACACTGGGCAACTAAGTGGCCCAGTGGATAGTCAGGAAGTTTTAAGTTCAAATCTGGCCTCAGACACTTACTAGCTGTGTGACCCTGGGAAAAGCACTTACTCCTATTTGTTTGTTTCCTCATACATAAAATAAACAGGATAAGGAAACGGCAAACCACTCCAATATTTTTGCCAATAAAACCCCAAATGGGGGCACAAAGCATCAGATATGACTGAAACAACTGAACAAAGGACATGAACTGGCAATTTTCAAAAGGAGAAATTCAAGCTAATAATAATCAAAGGAAAGAAATGTTCCAGGGGGCAGCTAGGTGGCACAGTGGAGAGCAACAGCCCTGGATTCAGGAGGACATGACTTCAAATCCGGTCTCAGACACATAACACTTACTAGCTGTGTGACCCCCCAAGCCCAAAACCAAACAAACACACAAACAAAAACCAAAAAAAAATGTTCCAAATCACGAAAAAGAGAAATGCAAATTCTAACAACCTTAAGGTTTCACATCACATCCCTAAGACCAGCAAATATATAAAAAGACTAAAACAGTAAACATTGGAGGGGCTTGTTGGTGGAGCTATGTATTAATCCAATCACTGCAGAAACTATCAGAAATTATACTAGATAAGTCACTAAACTATATGCCCTTTGACCCAGTAATGCCATTATCAGGCATACAGCCCAAGCAAAAAGACAGGTCCCACATGTACTAGAATACTCACAGCAGCATCTTTTTGCGGTAGCAAATAATTAGAAACAATGTAGGTACCCATCAATTTGGGAAAGGCTGAATGAAGTGTTACATGTAACTAAATATTAATGCAGTGTAAAAAATTACAAATAATTCAAAAACGTAGGCAGATCTGTCTAAACTGTAAAGTAAGCAGAACCAGAAATGATGGGTTCTTGGCCAGGGATGGAGCATAA